TTCATCTACTAGGCATTTACGCTGAAAGCACTTTGTACCTGAGGATGAAGATGTATGGCTGCTGGGGGCTTGGGGAGGTGCCAAGGGACACTGGGTGCTTGGTGTCTGCTGGGAACCAAGCGTTTAGCCCACCCAGCTGCTCTGAAAACATCACTTCGCAGTAATACAGGTCTTTTAAGTACCTGAAACCTTGAATATCTGATGGGAAGCCCTTTTTTTACACACTGAAATTACAGAAATTTAGATAATTTTAGTTTCGAATTTTAAATAATTTTATTCTTCATAGTAAAGCACTATCAACAAGCTAATGAGAATATGTATATAAATATCAGCTACAGACTAGCTACAGAAAAGCTGTTCAGATCTAAGCTGTGTGTTACCACGTTTTATTTTATTTCGGTTTGGGTTTTTTTAGTTATTTAAGTATTTACTTTTTATACTAGTGTATTGTTATAAAAAGAGGGAAGTAGGACACTGGATTATTTTATGAATGGATAATCTTTTCTAAGAATATTGCTTATACTTGGCATTATTTTCTTACTGTAACATAGTAAAGCTTCCTCCACTAAAGACATATGCAATGACAGAAATTGTTAATCTAATTATCCTTTTCTTTAACAACCAGCCTACAGTAAGATTTGTGCAGATGGATCCTCAGCCCTTCATTGCACTGAGTGCGTAATAACCTCTCAGATGCTTCTTTGGGCCAAGAAGTTAATAACAAGACACGGGGACATCCATTTTGAGATCCTGGTCTCAGATGGCCTGGATTGTTGGTGCACAGGCGGTTCTGTGGGATTACATGTCTCCAGAGTGCCATAAACTAGGTGCCACAACACGCAGGTGTCCGGAATTACTTTGGCTCATCATATTATGGATATCGTGGTAACAGAAAGAATAAATAATGCCACATTACCTAAATCTTAACTAAGAAAGTCAAGAGGAGAGATGACCTCCGGGGTAAGAGTGTCTGCAACCCTTTCTGATTTCCATGGGATTTGAAGTGCTGCAATATACTGCACTGTGAAACGAGGCTGGTGATTTGTGAATCGGGGCAAACAAACCTTTTCAACAATTCTAATGCATCTGACAATATTATCTTCTAAATTTTAAGATATGCCATAAATAGAAAGTCTTCTTTGTTCATATTTTATTCCTCCACCAGACGTATACTGTAGTGTAATTCCATTTGGCCCACTCCCAGAAGGTGACCATGGAAATTCTGCACCTGATTGATAAATTGTTCATTCCACCACCCACACAGAACCACACAGATTAAAAACTGCCTGCCTTAATTAAAATATTTAGTGGTTCATTTAGGGAAGCATCCACTCTAACACCACAGTAACAGAGTCGGGGCCAACAGAGCACGCAAGCTCACTGCACAAGTGGCTAGCTAGTCCAAGGGAAGGTTTGTTCACTGAAGAGCTTAACCTGATTTACAGTAGTTTGATGCATTTTAAAATAACTGTTGCATCCTATGTCAAATGAGGAAATCGCACCACGTTATGCTGGAATGTGGCTGGTTTTAAACATCCGCAGAAATGCGTTCAGAAAATGTATAAACACAAGGAGCACGTGAAACCTCCGAGAAGCATTCAGGGATACAGTCGTACACCAAAATTTAAGGCACGAAATCCTAAGGGAAAATTCCAGAAAAACAACTAGTGTTTTCTCTAACGCAAGTATTTAAAGTGAACTAAGATTTGCTTAAAATCTTCGCGTACCATTCATGCCACCCTATTTCTTCTCCTGCTTTTGCATCACCACGAGAGCACCAGAGACCTAAAAACACAGCGAGGTACCTTTCTCCAGAATAAACAATCAGGGCTTGAGTGTATGCACCAAAAAAAGCAACGCACAGAAAATTGAGAGAGATCCAGCTCACCTTGAAGTCCATTTCCATTTGCACTGGTGCAAGATGGTGGAGGAGAGGCTTGGGGCCTGACAACAGGAGCGAAGGCGCTCTTTTGTTTCACTGCAGAGATGACATTGGCAGGTGAGAATGAGAAAATGCCGTGTGTACTGCTACAGTTTGAAGGGAGGGTGACCGAAGAGGCTGCCATGGTAGGGCTTGACGGCACTACTGCAATAAAGCAAAAATAATCAGGACTCAGATTGGACACAAACAGATTAATTTATTATATTCATTTTTACGTCCAGCCTCCAGAGTCACCCCTCCTTTTATCCAGTAGCTCACGATAGAGGAAATCAAAACAATGCAAGTATTTGATTTTGTAGTAAATATGAATCTATATGATGATGTGTTACCAAAAATAGACACTTACTGCCATAAGGAGAGTTAGCTGAGGAGCCATTAAGAAATCCAGGGGAACCTGGTACACCTAGATTGGGCATGCCGGCATTGCCATATCCATTCATGCTATTGCTGACTGTGTTGTAATTGGACTGCTGAGGAGTACTGCTGGGAACATATCCTCGCGGGGAAACACTGCTTGTGTTGCGACTGTAACCTACTGTGTTAGAAACCCCCCCACCCCAAAAAAATAATGTTATTTTATAATATAGACTTAGGGCTGGGGGGTTTCCTCATGCAGCATATATTACACAGTTTTAATTGATTGCACAGCTTTGCTCTAAGTTGTCTCTTACTGCCCTATCAACTCTTGCAGTTTGAGATAACCTTATCACGCCAACCCTACTTAAATCATCTGCGAGCACTCTATGTTGTCTCTCCTCTTAGCACAGACAGCCAACAAAAGCTCTCTTCGATCCAGCTGTGTCAGGTGCCTTCACGTTTGTCTTTAGGAGCAATTATCAACAGGCTCAAGTCCCGCTTTGTACCAGCGCACTGAGTGAACTTTCAGCCTCTCCAGACCTTCAAATGCCACAGCTGACAAGAAAAACTGTTTTGTCGCAGTGATTTACTTTGAAAGGCTGTTTTGGGGTCTTCATTTTATGATTGATATTTTTATACTAACGACAAGCTCATATTTTCATAAGGTGTAGCCATCGGTGAAAACTAATTGAAGATCGAGTACAGAATTTTATAAGGCTTATTAGCTTGGAAATGCATTAAAAGACAATCTTTTTAGAAGAGGAAACATAGCAGAATCAGGATTTTAAACAACAATTTGTTCCTATCTGAGCAATCAATTTAATAATTACGTTGCAAGCAAAAAATATGGGTTTGAACATATCTAATAATCCTGCCTCCCTCCTCTTATTAGTAACAAAATTAATTTTAAATTCAATATGCTACATGCATTTTCAATTACAACAGGTAAATTAAATCAACTATTACTTTTATTAGTAACATATATGTCACACGTGCCTATAAACAAAGTATTTTAAAATCACAGACATCAAATTAGATTTATCTGTGTAAATATTCCAAAACCAGGTGGAGATACCTAGACATAATTATTTTATAATAAACATACCAGCTGTATATTTACTGTGAATAACAAAGAGCTTTCTCCACTTTGCCAATTTTTTTTTTTTTTTTCCCCCACTGGAGATGCTTTGTGATAACAGCAAACGAAAGAACAGGGAGAATTAAATATTACAAGAAAGTTAAAGAAGGCATTTCATTACGCGATCAGATGTATGACTACGGGGAGAAAAAGAGATAGAACAGGGTGGTGACATCAGCTGGCATTAACAGGCACTGG